TCGGGGGACGAGCCCCTGAGCAAGCGGATCGCGGACGTGGTGACCCCGCTGTGGAACGTGCCCTACGAGGAGCAGCTGGCACAGAAGCTGCAGGAGTGCGAGCAAGTGCTGCAGAAGCTGACAAAGTAATTCCTGTTTGTAACGCTACTGTAGTGTGTACGGGACTTGGCCTTGGGATGGGATGTAGCTAAATTCACTCCAATTGCTACCTCTAAAATGAAGTGAGTTAGAGGTACGTCAAAACTCACATCCCCTGTCAAAGTAAATAGAGGATTAATCTGCGATGGTAGGGCCTAAAAGCTGTTCCAGTTGACAAAACTTGCTGTTCTCGGTCAGCTTCAAAAAATTGCTAAATGAAGGGGAATTGGTTCTAAAGTCTGTTGTTCCATAAGCAGGAGGATGTTTGTGCCCTTAAAAAAATGGCATTGTCAAAGGGTATAAGAGATAATCAATCTGTAAAGATGGTAAATTACTATTGGGCTTTTCTCTTTTAAAATCCCCTCAAAATTTTATGCCCTGTCTTTGTAGATCAAAGTATCACTTCTGTCTCTTGCCTTACGTGGATAAAATTGGCATTCTTTTCATGCATGGGTACATTGATAAATCCAGTAAATACCATTGTAACTACATTTAACCCTCATTTTTTCAGGTCAGCTCTTATAAAGTTGGAGAGGGTTTGCCTGTTAAAAAATTCTGGAAGAAATACTCTTTCCTGTGATAATGTGATGCGTTTTTGTGCCCTATACAAGAAAATGTTTTGTGCAACTGTTGACCTCAACTTTTCTAACTGCGTGCTTTATACTTTTTTGTTTCTGATTTGGGCAGGGAAATAGGAAATAACAACAGAGCTTTATTACCTTGGTTGTTCCTGCAGAAGCAGAAGTTTAATAAATTGTGTTGCCCGGTGGAGGGAGTGAAAGCGTCACCATTACAGGTAATGTCAGCCCAGGTACAGTGTGGGCTGGGGTTCATGAGCTCAGGGGTACGTTCCTTATTTGGTCTTAGGAGACAGTGGACAGTGAGTATTCGACTTCTTCTTGTAATAATAAATGATGAATTTTAGACATTGTTGCCTGTCATGTAAATACTGTGTGGACATATTTACAGGAAGCAGAAAAATAGACACAATTAACTGGATATTCTAACTTTAAAATGAATATGCTGTCCCTGCAAGCCTGTGTTGTAAGCTAATACATTCTTCAGCAGAGGCAATAGTTTGCTCTTTAGATAACAAGACTTACTAATGCTTTTCAGTGTTAGTTCACACAGATCAAAATCCATGAGTATCTTCCATATGAACTAAATGTCCTGTGTCCATTTGCAAATGCATTTAACCATATGAGATTTGTTTCAGGAGAAACTTGGCATGTACAAATAAATGCTATATCAATATCTTACATAACTTTATTTTGAATCTAGACTGAATATCGCAACAAATGTGAGTTCTTGATTGGGATTGGTGTAAATCAAGAAGACAAAACTGTGGGTTGTCGTCTTGGCAAATATAAGGGTGGTACATGTGCTGTAGTGGAGCCATTTGATACTGTTCACATTCCTGCTATTGCCAAAAAAGTAGTAAAAGCTTTCCAAGACTTCATAAGGTGAGCATAAGTAAAATGAGTTATCCGTAAAGGTTTTGATATCTTACTCAAAAATTATTTGTAAAATGAAATATTATGAAAAGCTTAGTGTTTGTTCTGAGCTCGAAGACCTAAGATGTACCAGCCTCAATTTTCAGTGATTCTCTCTTTCTACCTTGTGCCTGGATCACGGGCTCACAGGGTATTTTTCCCTTGCTCTTTCTGGGCTGCTCTGAGATGGGAGGACAGGTACAAACTGAACACAGTTTTATTGCAAGCAGTGGGACCTGTAAGTCTACAATAAAAAGTGTGTGTTAGTTGTGAGCTTCTTCCACTAACTGCAAAGAAATGCTTTTAAAAGGAGAAATTTGAATAACAAAGGTCCACTGCTTCCTGGGAGGAAGAGAAGAATCATCCTACAGCAAGGAATAAAACAGAAGTTCTACATTTAAGCAACAATACTTTTTTAGAAAAATGAGTGCTTTCTTTAAGAAGCAATTAAATCTTAAGAAATGGAGACCTCAGAAGAATCATGAAGGTGGAGGGTTTGAACTTGGTATGAAGCAGAGAAGCTAATGATATAAAGGGTGGTGTTATTCTCTGAACGTGATGAGAAGCTGCCTGTTGCCTCTGTAATTTTAGATGGGTTAAAATGGGTAAAAGGATTTTGAGAACTAGGCACACGTTATTTTGCTTTAGGAGATGTTATCTCTTCATCAGTCCTTTTTGTTCTTTTCTCTTAGTTAAGGTGTGGGAGTCATTCCTTTCTTGACAAATCAGTGCAGCCTCTGTTTGTACTTAACATTTTTTCCATCGCTTTGGATAGTAATGTTCTTTTGTGTCCATGAACTGTTTAATGTTATGCAAAACAAATAATTCTGTGTATAAGTAATGGAGCTTCTGCAAATTGCAGGTCAACTCCCTACTCTGTTTACAGCCCCGAGACCTACGAGGGGCACTGGAAGCAGCTCACTGTGCGCACCAGCAGGAGCGGCCACCTCATGGCCATCGCCTACTTCAACCCCCAGGTACTCCCTGCAGATGGGGGGGAGCCCACACAGCTCTGAAGTGCTACATCTGAGTCTGGGAGCTGTGCATGCACAAGGGAAATACAGCATTGCTTGCTGTAGCCTGCCTTGCACTGCTACTCCAGTTCTCTTTGGACTGATACCTGGAAATGAACAAGTCCTTCCTATGTTATAAACAGTACACACTAAATCCCATCTCCAAGTCACTCACGTGATTATTCTCCCTTCCTTCCAATGAAACCTGTAGAAATTAGGTAAGGAAGAGCTCACTGACCTGAAAAGCTCTCTGGCAAAATACTTCACAGAAGGGCTGGGACGGAGCAGTGGTGTCACCTCTCTGTACTTCGTGGAGGAAGGACAAAGGTGAGGGAGTTGATGTCTCTGGGGGACGGTGGTGCATGTTTTGTGTTTGCAGAACAGCAGGTAGCACTTGCACAGCCTTGGTTGGGCTATTTCAGAGAAGTAGCATCAGTGTTACTCATTTCTGCACATCACTTACCTTTTCCACAAGAGCCTGTTGGAATTTCCCATTCTCTGGATGAAGGCAGGTGGAGTTTCAGTGGATGAACCCACCAGTTGTTGCTGGCTGTCAAGCTGTGGAGGTGTTTACTGCAGTAGATGGAGGTTTATTATTATCAAGTAACTTCTACATCCTTTCTTCCCTATTTCTGTGATTCTTTTAATCTCCCCATCCTCCCTCCTAGAGCACAAGGCTCACACCATCTTCATCCAGAGATAGGGTAGGTCCTACAGCAACCAGCAGTGGAACAATTGCACACTGCAGGGCTAAATGACCAAGAAGAGTCTCTAAGAGATGATAAATGTTACTGCTTAGGATGTAGCACTACAATTTTTGGGGTGACTACAGCTTTGGTAAAAATTGTAACAAACATATTTGTCTTTTTTTTGTTTCTCCCCTATTTTGTCTCCCCATTCTTCCCCCACCCTCAGGAAATCTCCCAACCTCGAAGACTTGCCTTTGGAGCATGTGGCTGGTGACAAGTACATATATGAAGAACTTCTTGGCCTAAAATTTAGAATTTCTCCTCATGCATTTTTTCAGGTAAGGATGATGTGAAGTTCCTAATTTCACTGGATTTGCATTAATGCCCTCGAGCTTGACTAATGCTGTGGAACAAGATATATCTAGCAATTTAATCTTTTATATTTAGTGTGATTAAATATCTCTCTTGGCTGTAAAAGCAGTGAAGGAGTGTAAACTCGATGGGAGCACACTGAAGACAACTTTTTCTTTATATGAGTTCGTTCTGTTTGCCTCCTGTTCCGTGGCAGTCCTTTGGTAACACTGAACATGCAGTGGATGGTTTGGAAATCTTGCAGGACTCATTTTTGTTTGCTTTTCCAAAACTTATTTCGAGCCTTCCAGCACTTTAAATGTGTGTTTTTAACTTACACGTGAAGTTGTGTCTTAAGAACAAGAAAAGGTGCTTTGCTGAGGCTGACTCAAGCACATTCCTGTTGCTGAGGAAGTGTATCCCTTGGAACTCCCTCTGCAGGTGAACACGGCGGCTGCAGAGGTTCTGTACGCGGCCATCGGGGACTGGGCCCAGCTGAGCCCCGACAGCACCGTGCTGGACATCTGCTGTGGCACAGGAACCATCGGCATCTCCCTGGCCAAGGTGAGCCCCTGCTCCCCTGGGACAGGCTGGGGTAACTGCCCTTCTTAGCTAATTGTAAGGGTGGTTACAGTGGAAGAAAATACTCCATACATTTGAAATGCAGCACATTGGATCTTAATTTTTTTCAAACAATGTCTCATTAAACTGCCTGCAGCTGTTTTACCAAGTCATCATGGAAGCTCACCCTTGTGTTGAGCAGCCTAAATTATTTTGAAACTAATTTAGTCTGGACTTTCTCAGCAAGCTCTGGATATGAATAACCAACATTTCTTACATCTGGGTAGAGTGGAGTTTGCTAGAGCATGTAAGGAAGTCTGGCCCCCAAAAAGGAAAGACGCCAGCATAACTGGAGTCTGTCTGTCCTGTACAGGTTGGGATAAAGGGTGTTCATCCCACAGTTTCAGTTGAAAAAGTCACTATGGATTTGCACAGTCCCTTCTCAGCCTTTTTCTGCCTGCAAGGCAATAATTCCATGACCAGGTACTGGGCAAAGTTCCTGTTAATTGCTGATGCTATGAAAAGTGTTAAACTTACACAGAGGGAGCTTTTCCCCTTGATTCTGTAGAAAGTGAAGAAGGTGATTGGAATTGAGCTGTGCCAAGAAGCTGTGCAGGATGCCAAAGCCAATGCCCAGATCAATGGTGAGTTGAGCTGAAGTGCTCTGTTTGTTAAGCAGTGGTTGTACAGCCAGTTGCTCTTTACCTTATCTGAGCAGCCTGGAATTACATGTTGTTGATAGTGATCTTGTCCATTTTAAACACTTAATCTCTCTTGAAAACAAATACCACGTTAACCCACAAGATCAATTTGCCCATTGACTAAAAGCTAGCTTTTTTTCCTTCTTCAAGTGTAGAAGTGAAACAAAACCAGTTATCCTCCTAAATAAAACATTAACAGTAGCTGTTGGCTGTGGGGTTTTGCTTTAGTCCAGATAATGGAAGATGCTCAAATTACTGTTGTTTAAATGATCTGAAATAACAGTGATTGTTTAAATGACACTGATTTCATGGTAGACTAAACAATTTGTAGTTTCTAAGGCATCAGAACTTAATATCCAGTATAGTGTACTGAAAATGCTTTGGTAAGTACTCTGACATCCCTTCTTGTTCTTACAGAACTGAACAATATTGAATTTTACTGTGGGAAGGCAGAAGATGTTGTCCCTTCCCTGATGAACGTCTTGGCTCCTCAGAACCTGGTCACTATTGTGGATCCCCCCCGAGCAGGGCTGCGTAAGTTCCCCAGCTGGGGCTGTTCTCCTCAGGGGTGCTGGGGGGGAACCCAAGGGAACACCAACGGGACAAATGAGGTGGAGGCTGCAGGGACAGCCTGAACCAGTGGGGGATTGCAGCAGTTTGTTCTCTGCCAGTCTGTTGCTGCACACAGAGCCACTAAACAGCTGTCTTGGTTTTGATCATCCAGATTCCAAGGTAATTCTTGCCATTAGAAGAGCTGAACATCTGAAGAAGCTCATTTATGTCTCCTGCAATCCCAGAGCCGCGATGAACAACTTTGTAGAGTGAGTGTTTCTTGCATTAGGTTGACTTAATCTTCAGAAGACAAATTGTGCTTGCTGGGGAGAGGGAGCTCTTAGAAGAACAGCAGTGGTGACGAGCAGACTAAAACATGGGTTCATTTCTTCCTCCCCTCTCTGTCCTTTCCCGTTCAGCCTTTGCCGGGCCCCGTCCAACAGGGTGAAAGGAGCCTCCTTCCGCCCCGTGCGAGCCATGGCCGTGGATCTGTTCCCCCAGACCAGGCACTGTGAGTTACTGCTCTGCTTCGAGCGCGTGCAATACCCCAATGGCAGCTCAGCAGCAGCTCAGCCCACGGCAGGAGGGGGCCCCTCAGGGAGCCAGGCAGCTGCTGGCCATGGAGAGTCACCCTGACTCAGAGACACTGCACAAACCACTGCCTGGCCAGCTGCGTCCATAACATCGTGTCTGTAACATCCAGGGAATAAATCTCTGTACAGCAGAGTAGGTGCAAGGCTTTGAGTTCTTTTATCATACTCATGAATTAAATTTCATTGTTGTAGAACCACAGAATGGTTTGTTTTGGAAAGGACCTTAAAGATCATCTCATACCAAGCCCCCTGCCATGGGCAAGGACACCTTCCACTAGACCAGGTTGCTCAGAGCCCCATCCAACCTGGCCTTGGACACTTCCAGAGATGGGGCATTAGGTACTATTAAGCCCCAAATCTACTTTTCTCCTCATGCCCACAGTGGTCTCCCTCTTTGAAGTGGCTTTAAATAAAGTATTCCACAACTCTATGCAGATACAACTACCTGAAGCCTGGGCTGATTTTTAATGCAACACCACCCTTCCCGTGAGTGTGACACACCACCCTTAGTGAACAGCTGCTACTCACCACAGCCAACACCAGGCACTCCGCAGGGTGTCACTGCCACTGCTCCCCTGGGCTCTGCCAGCCTGTCAGAACCACACCCTGGCTGAGGAGGCAAGTGAAGATGGAGCAACCTTAAACCTTCCACAGATCATTTCACTGCTGACTCTTCCCTAGGAAGTGACGAACTCAGTCCAACCTCAGTGCCCCCCTCCCCTCAGCCACAGTCGGTCTGACCAGGCTGGAGCAGCACGGACGGGACAACCAACGCTTGAGTGTCCTAAACCTCAGGGCCAGGCCCTCACCCTGCAAACTGCCCCCAGTCAGGCCATGGCAGGAGAGGGAAGACACTTGTCATTTTTGGTCAAGAGGCTCCTCCTCCTCCTCTCAGTGTCAGTGAGGCTGCTCGGGGGTGCCTTCAGTCGAGTACCTCCCCTGGCACAGTGATCTCCAGGAACTTCTGTAGCCCCCTGAGGTGTTCTGATCCTGCAGGAGCTCTGGAAGGGTAACCTTGGCCTCACAGAAAGTGTATTTCTGGAAGAGCTGTGTAATTCAGGGATCACTGAGGAATGAGAAAACAAGGAGTACAACCTCATCTCCTTCAGTGTTTGAGTTACAGCTGAAATACTTCTGGACACTGGTGCTCTGTCCCAAACCTCTGCCCTGGGCTCCAAAGGATCTTTCCTCAGGTATCTTCCCAGCTGTTTTAGTCGTAGCCCTGTGCAGCAGGAGACAAAGGCAGTTTGTGTTTAAGCCAAACCCCCAGCACAGACACACACCAGGACAGTGACCCCACTGAGCACCTGCAGCTGCACTTCTGTGCGTGGAGACCAACCTGGCTGAGAGTCCCAGCCCGGGCCGAGGTGCTCTCCAGGCAGAGTCACTCTCCAGATCTCAGCAGCTGCCATGGACAGACTGTGATCCACACTCCAGAGCAGACAGAGCACTGACTGGGAGAAGGAAAAACCATCTTAAATCTCAAGTTACCAAACATACTTCTGATACACATTTAATGTGGCCTGAACAACAACAGCCCCCAGCTGTGCTGACACCCCACCTGTCCAGTGACAGCAGGTACCAAAAGCAGCACTTGGGGCTGAGACACTCCCAACCTTGACATCATTTAAGTAAAAATACAAATCCCAGTTCAAGAAAACACTGTAATTTAATTCCAAGGGTTTAACCATTTAAACATTCAATTCCTTACCAAGAAGGGGATCAAGTACTTCCCTAACCAAGAAGTTAGAGCCTGCACTAATTTAATTTCTATTAAAAACACCTACAGGACTCAAGGAATAAAAAAGTTCCTTTTTCTAGATATGCTTAAGCCATGGTAATACTGATCACACTGGTGCATTTTATAATATCAAACTTTATTGCTCAAAACTAATTGTCTGAAAAATACACATGTAGTACTCAAAGACCAAACACAGAGGATTACATGATTGTGCAGAAAAAAAGCAAGCAGAGGCTCAGTGAAAATGAGGCTTTATAGTTGTACCAATTTAGCACTGGCATCAAGCAACTGCACCCACCACAACTCAAAGAGCAACCATTGTTACCTGCTCGGGCAGTAGGGATGGACTCTGGTTTGTTTTGTTTTCCCACCTCCAGATACACACTGGAATACTGTAACTGATCATTTATTTGGTTAATAACAGCATGGCTTCTTGCACTTCACATTCCTTCCCACGGAAAGTTAGGAGGATATCACTTCCTCAACTTCACTCCAGGACCAAAGTACAGTTTAGAGAATTAATAAGATAATCATGATGCTTTTAAATACTTGGATGTTACAAATATATTTGTATAAAGCCTAACAGCATCACAGGAGAATGGAAGTTTACATACAACAGTTAAGTTTATGCATAATAGTCTTTCCAAACTTCTGAGTACCCAACTAATTCATCAGTTCTGCCTAATAAATATGTAAAAAAGCTGATGACTGGTGTTTCAGTAGGTAGCATCTGACTAGTCACTGCAAGTCACAGTAAGTTTTCTGTCAGTACCATGAAGATTTGAATGCACACTAATTGAATCCTTAAAGTCAATAAACCACACTTTTGTCAAGAAGCACATAATATGCAAAGCAAAACTGTCTAATCCCCAAAGGATGGAACAGTTCTTAAAAATACACTCCATCCCTATAAAAATACCCATCTTCCTCTGGATATAGAAGGGATAAATAACAAGTATCAGTGACAAAAGCAGCAGTTGTTTTATGCATTCATACAATCAGATCTAAACCTTTACAGCCGATTACCTAGAAAACACACAAGTTACAAGACAAGTTTAGGATACATCTTGAATCACACTGTAAGTGTTCATGCAGAAGCTGAAGTTAATGCAATGATCTATCCTCTATCACAGCAGCTCGTGCTTATGTGCAAATGCAAGACTGTTACACTCCAAACAATAGTAAACATTAAAACACAAGAATACTCCACATGACATCAACAGCAGTTCCGTTGTTTGTTCCAGCAGTTATTGCGGGTTCCTGGACAGCTCTCCAGTTAAAGGCTGCAGCAAGGTCTGATACCATCGTGGTGCTTGGGTTTTGTTTAGAATGCATAATACACGTTCTAGGCTTTGGTTCACAATGAAATCTCTGGGTGTTTATTAAGGGCAATGGTCACCTTGTGAATCTGATAGTGGCAGAGTGAGGTAATACAGCAATCCTCTTAAAATGAATGAAAACAAATTGGTAAGCGAGGCATCTATGGATATTCTGCAGGTGACCTGCAAATGCATTGACATTCTGGTTTCAGAAAAATAAAAAGATCTACAAGGGTGATTTGTCTTTTACAGTGCCATCCAAGTACAGATTTTTCTGCTGAAAACAGAGAAGCTGAAATAAAACCTATCTATTTAGGCATAGAAGATATAATAAGCCCTGTCTTTAGGAAAATAAACAAAAAAAAAAATCCAATAAAAACAAAGAGACAAACAGCAATCACTGCTTGTCACTGCTGCACCAATATTATATACCCTTCAAAAGATGGAGATTTATTAAAGCTATACAAAAAAAAGCAGAGGCAGTGTTTTTTGTTTCTTTTTTTTTTTTTTAAGACAGGCCACTTCTTTAAATAATAAGTTCATGTATAGTCTTCCAACTACCCGTATCCTGTTGTACCAGGATTACAACTCGTGGAACTAAAAAGCTAAATACAATAATAAAAAAATGGATGGATTTGTATTTGCAGAGACCTCCGAGGGTATCACTCAAACACAGAAACAGGTGAGACTCCAGGACTCCTCCTGTTTAACCTCAAACATCATATGCAACACGTGAGAGAACATCAGCTTGAAATATAAATTAAACTCCACGTATTTCCAAAGTAATGCATGATGTAAAAGGAGGTCTTACAATACTGATGCCAACATTGTTAAAATCCAGTAGGCACTAAATTCAATATACTGCAGCACTCTCCATGTAACACAGGAAATCAAAAACCCCCCAGCAAAAAATCAAAAGAAAAACCAAAGCAAACAACCCCTCGAGCCCCCAGGTCCCTGTCCAGGTAAGGGGCAGGAGCTGCAGCAGGTGCAGAGGAGTGAGCTGGGTCACTGCCCAGGGCAGGAGGGTAGGACAGAGCAGAGCAGCTCCTCCAGCAGTCACTGAAGCACCAGCTCGGCTTTCACTCTCCCCTCGCAGAGCCAACACAGAGCAGCTCCCAGGGCAGGCACTGCAGTGCCACAGAACCCAGGGATGGTTCCCAGGGCAGGCACTGCAGTGCCAGAGAAGCCAGGGATGGTTCCCAGGGCAGGCACTGCAGTGCCAGAGAAGCCAGGGATGGTTCCCAGGGCAGACACTGCAGTGCCCCAGAGAAGCCCAGTGAAGAACAAGAACCCCAGTGAAGAACTCCTCCTGTGCTGTGCCTGCCAACAGCTCCTGCCCACACTGCCTGTGCTGCAGCTGAGAACACTTTGCATATTTGTGACTTCCTTAGTTAGGAGCATAGCCAGTTATGGTCTCATTCTATTCATTACTCTATGTCATAACCCAAATCTACATTCTAGTTTGCAGAAGTTACACATTGTCTTTAAAAACTAAAAATGTAATTAAAAAAAGTAAAAACAAAGGCTTCTTAAAAAAAAACTAAATTGCTGCAGTTATTTCAGATTTTAGGGTTGTGTTGATTCTTTTTTAAATTCTTTGCTTTTATGGTGCAAATTAATTAAGACTTAATTGGTCAAGTCAGATGTAATCTGACACCAAACAAATAAGAAATTGTTTTATTGCTGGGAGAAGGGAGTGGAAAGTCTTTAAACACATCATTGGCAAAGTATATTTAGACTATCAACCATCATCAGCTGCGTTTTGGCTCCAAGCTTTGAAAACAGCCTTTCAAACTACAGTTTTTATTTTAATCATACAACTAGGGCCATATTTTCCCTGTTCAAGTGATCTGTAAACTAACACAGGCTCTTTTTATTTCAAATAAAGTCCAGTAATTTTGGATATCCAACCTGTTACTCTTAACACTACCAGGTGTACTTGTTCTTTTCAAGTAGTAAAAAAATCTGTATCCTGTGCTCTCAAATAACTAAGCCTGGCAGGAGACAAAAAGCAAAACAAAAACAGTATTACTGGCCTAATCCTATGGCATTAGGAACATTGCTCATCACTTTCCTGTATTTGTCACCAAAGTGTCTTATCAGTGCATATTATTATGTGCTGAAATGCAACAAAACTTTTCACAAAAATAGTTTTAGGCATGTTCATACAAGAAGATGTACATATATTTCTTTTATATATACATATATATGAATGTGTATATATATAATATCGGCTTCAACCTGTACATAGATATTCTGAATTTCATACTTAAAATACATCCATTTCAAACAACATGGATGGCTTTCCAGGAAAAAGTGCTTGATTGATTTTATCCTGTGTGAACATGCCTGTGCTCTGTGCATTTGCCAAGTAAGAGACCTTTATGATCGATCCTTTAAACGTACATATCTCAGAGGTATTAAAAAAGGAAAAATACCTAACCAAAGAAAAAGAAACTAGGAAAAAGTAATATTGCCCTGATGATGCAAAAAGAACAATGCATAACTGAAGCAGCTTGGATTTTAAAAGTTATCTTGCATTCTGCAGCAAACAATTTTTAAATAATTGTTGAGAATCTAGTTCCTCCATTTGTGTTATTGCTCCCCACTTGCATTTTCTCCTCACACATCAACAGTGCAGAGAGGTTCACTCCCAGGCTGAGCAGACTCCACTATAGTCATCTTGGGTTTCTTTCGTGTTTCCTCCTACAAAAATATGAAACAGCCCCCCCACACAGTCATAAAGAGAAGGTAATCATAAACACCATTCCAATTTTGTACAATTTTAGCCAAACTTCTGTCAATCGGTGTGAAAGGTTAACTTGGGCTGATGTTGAAAATAAATTTACTGAAGTAGGTACAATTAAGTTATAAGACAGTTTAAAAGAGAGGATGAAAATCTCTCTAGAAGTAGCTCCCCAGTCAAGTTTTGAAGAGCTCAGATTTTGAGATACCAGGTAAAACAAGCAAAACTATCTGACCATTGGTACAGGTGAACTGTGGCACTTGTGCTGTTTGTAAATCCACAAGAACATTTACTCACTCTTTCCTGTGCCAGTTTTTTCATTTCTTCCTGTAACTTGTTCAGGATGTGCAGATTTGGCTTGTTCTTTTTGGCATACTGCTGAAGCTCTATCACACTTCTATCAGAGGTTTCCTATTCAACAGAACCACAAGCAACAACTGATCAAAATAATGTACATGAAGCAATAGTTGTACTTCCTTAAGTAATAACATCTATTTCCACAAGTCAGGTCAATGTTAAATATTTAACAGGCTATATAATTTTGATCTGGAAGATGCAAGATTAACAGTGATTACTGCCAGTGCAATCACTCCTCTCGTGTTCTGGCACTAGCAAGGAACAGGATCCCTTCTGAACTGAGAACTGCTCCCCAAAGGGGCACTGCCTTCACCAGCAGGGACCAGCACACCAAAGCACACAGCCTAAAGCTTTGCTGGGGTTAAATTTAAACCCCCAGAAAGACCCAAAGGCCAAACTCCAGTCCCAGGGTAGGTTATGACCAACACAAGAGCACAGTCACCTGTTTAACCAGCTTGCTGTTCTCCCTCCCGTACATCCGCAAGAGAGAGCCCCAGTTCTTCACGTGGGGGTGCAGGAGCTGCAGGATTTTCTGGGAAGCCAATTGCTTCCCCACTCTCTTATTTTTGCCTGTAAAAACAGTCATGGCAGTGTCTCAGTCCTGGACCATCGTGTAGTGAGATGAACACAAACATTGCCTTGTGTCAGTCAGAACTGGGACAGCAGAGCAGAGGGACATTCCCCAGCTGAGCCAGCACCCCAACATTGCCTTGTGTCAGTCAGAACTGGGACAGCAGAGCAGAGGGACATTCCCCAGCCCCCAGAGCCAGGCAGGGCAGAACTGCCCAGCCCTGTACTTACACCAGCCTCGCACCGTGTGCTTCCCACACGTCATCACGTATTCACTCTTCTGATTTTTCCCAGGAATCACTTCAAACTTGATGGATGTATCTCCCATTCCGTGGTTTCTTAAGCACAAAATCAAGATCACATACTAAGTAAAACTACAAACAACTGAAGTGGTTGCAGTTATCTTTGAGAGTAATTGCAATGAAATTAGACATTAATAAATTCCAAAACATTCATTAATGAAAAGGGTATTTTAGATCAGTAACTTGAAAAGGCAAGCCTGTACGAAGGAAAACCAAATATATATCCCACAACTAAATTCTGATCTCAGAAGAGGCATAAACAGCAAATATGAATTCAAAGTGCCTCAGCATTGCCCAGCTGAGTCCCCCCAAGGCTGGCACAGGGAGCTCAGCCAGCCCAACAGTGCCCAGGCACTGCCCAACACTGCAGGGACACTGTGCCCCCAAACTGCCCTCCTGCTGCAGCCTTACCTTTTAAGGCACTCATGGAGAATCTGATATGGAGACAAGAGTCCAGCTTTACTGGTGAGTTCATATACCCGTGAGTCCTCAATACTGATATGGTTAAAATACTACAAAGGAATTGAGAAGGGTCATTGTACTTTGTGCAAGTAAGGCCCTAAAACTGTCCTTAACTCTCATTTCTCTTCTGCAACATTCTATAAGATCTGCCACACCTAATCACACAGCTATTGGCACATTTTGTATTGCAAAACAACGGAAAAAATGGTTTGCATTTTCCTAATGACCATTTCAGTAGTGTAGGGGATACAACACAGTTTTAAGTTAAAGCAAAGGTACAAACAACTAATCTTCTGATGACTGATTTGTCCTTTACTCCTCACTGATGGTCTGTGAGAAGTACCACTGATCAACAAACTATTTCATACTTCCAGTACCTGAAAATATAGCACATATTCTCCACTTAAAGAAACTTTTCCTTTGATTTTCTCAAATGTCACTGCCTGAGATTTACAGGTAGGTAAAAATGCCTCAGAAGCCTGAGCACTTTTCAGTTCTTTGTTGGTGTCCTAAGATGATCACACAAAACCAGACAGCACCTCACTGAACTTTTCACAGCATCAACCAGAGGATTTTGGAAGCCAGGACAGTACAGGCAGTCTGGTATCTTGGAACATTTCAGGTCTTCAGTAAGTGACCTGATATAATCAATAAGGAACTATTTCTCTGCATCACATTAAATCTTCTGATCAATTCCAATTAAAAAAAGGTATTTTCATTGCCATAGATCTTCCTCTAAAGGAAGAATTTCACATTTCCCTTTGACTGAGAAAACAACCTTATGAACTTTCCATTGTATTTTTGACACTGAAGGTGCAATGTTTTTAAAGACAGACTCCAATAATGACAGCCAGGAAGCAACAGCTCAGTACCTCAAGTTCTTGACTGTCTTTGGGCTTCTCCTCAGAGGTCTGTTTAACAAAGTCGGGAATAAGGATTTCCAGTGTAGCTCGAGCTGCAGAGAGTGATTAAACATCTTGGTTAAGTTTACTTTAAACAATGATTGTAAAGAAAAAGATCTCCTCTAGTAAGTGACACAGAGTCCTTAGCAGCAAAAATCAGAGTTGTGCCCCTCAGTTGTTAGAGCTGAGCCCTGGTGCTGCATCCCCAGGGCATTCAAACCCCAGCATGGTACAAAAAGCACCCCCAGGATCTGCCTAAACCTTCACAGCAAAATCCCTTTTCCTCATGCACAAACAATTCCAGGCTGCTTTTTGGGGATTTGGCTGCACTGATGGAATTCTCACATGCAGAAATCACCACATGGATGTCATACATCTTTACATGCTGAAGGGTTTTTCCTGAGCCTTGTGCTAAAGAGATTGAAACCTGGAGCTCAGTGAGGAGTCCTAACAGCAGATGTGGCAAGACATTCCCATCTAGAACTACTTACACATTTATTACAGACTTCCACAATTGGAATAATGAAGACAAGTACTTAGAAGTCAATAATCACATAGTTCAATGCAACTGTTTTATTTTCAGAAAGAAAACCAATACAAACAAAAGTTGGAGGGATTTTTTTTTTTTTGAAAGACAGGCAAATATTTTTGTTTTGCTACAATCCATCCCCAGGTGTTTATACAGCAGGTGACAGCACAGACATAAAACCTCCAACAAGTTTTTACTGGTGTGATCATTAGAGACAGACTCTCACACTGTTGCCCAGTGCACATCAAGAGTCTGCATGGAAGTCAACAGAGCAAGTTTCTTCATGGTTTTCTGTCCCAGTCCATTGCTGAACCTTTGCTTGTCAGCAAAGTCTCTGCACCAGCATTTATCAATTTTGCCAAAAGGCCATATACACATTTTCTTTGACTGTTAACAAAATTATTCCCACTTACTGTGGCAAACACGTAATTTCCAAAGCAGAAATGAAAACAGATAAACAAATCAGGAGTTGTTATTAAGAAAGAAAAAATGTTACCAGCTTTATTCTTGGCAAGTTTTTTGCTGCTGGCAGTTCCTGCCCCATAAGTTACTCCATCAATAATAACTGAGGCTCCAAAAGGTTCACTTGGGTTCTCTGGAAACAGAGGAAGAAAGTAAAAGAAAGCTTTGCAGAACTCTCAGTGTAAAATACACTCACCATGAACATGAAATACCACCACTGTCAAGGCTTTCTTTTCTTCTTCATTTCAACTTCAAGAGGGATGGAAATTGTTTATTCTTCATAAAGACTGAAAAATTTCTTACTTCAGTATAAGAAAGACTAACAAGAGTTTTCCATTAACAGAGACTTACCACCATATACTCATTCTTCCAAATAAAGAACATTTTAAGAGATCCCTGGTAATCTGCCAGAATTCAAGTATTAACACCAAAGTTTCCATATCCCAGTGTGAATACAAGAGCTACACATTCTGATATTGAAAATTCAGGTAAATTATGTAATACATACATAGGAATAACATAATTCTGAAGAATTATAAGGTGCCCTCAAAAAACCCAAAAAAAACCCCAAAACAGCAACAGTAAGAATTAAGGGAACATACATCATAGCACTTCAGGAAACAAACCCCAATGTTAATTTGATTGCAGGTCTATTTTAAGGAAACGTAACAGACTTACCACATTCAAAGAAATTGTAAACAGGGCGAACCTTCAGGACTCGTTGCATATATTCATGCAGTATGCAAACTTCAGACTTCCCATTGGGATTAATGACAAATTCTGCAAAGAAGAAAGACAAAGAGAGGGGAAGAAGCTAAGTAGTTCCAGTCTTTAAAAGACAATTTCTACTACAAATAAATCAATCAATAAATTAGAAGCTCCAAGGGATAAGTGCTTGCTCAAATGAAATGTGCTGTTGTTGAAACCAGTACAGGTAACTAAGACCTCCCAGGCCATTTTCATTGACAAACTATTGAGGTGTGAGTGAGATGTTTCTATCAACAACTAGAAGTGCACTAATTATGAGCCAAGTCAAACATTCTGTTCAATGTTTGCAGTCCCATGGCCTCGGGACCTCTAGACACAGCATTTTTGGCAGCGAACATCAATTAGAGATCCTCTAATTTGCTCCAAACACATCAGAAGGGAGACACAACGGGCACATAGACTTCAAATCCAAAACCCAGAATCATTCCCCCTTCCCTCCCACACAAAAACCCTGTTTAGCAAGCCACAGACCAGGGCACTGCTCCCTTGCCATGACTGTGCTCTTTTTATTGGAAAGATTATTTTTTGGTTGGATGGGATTTTTCCCCTGCAACAGTATCATTAGTCAAGAGCACAAACCCTGGCTCAGCAGAATCCAAATCCCAAGTCTAATGGACATTCTAAACATCAGACTGCAGTCAGATGTGCTATTATGGATACACAGCCAATATACACTAGGGAACGCTCCAGCTTCTTGTCAGATACAATATCCACTCATCATACCACAGGACACAACTGCACACACATTTGTATTTTTAACAGGAGGTTTTAATCTGGATTAATATGGCATTTGTAACCAATCCCTAACTTGGGACCAATTAGAACTGGTACAGAACTGAGAAGGCAGTAGCACTGAGTGACAAGGCAGGAGGGTTTTCAGCAACAGCCAACAGTAAGTATAGCTGAAGGTAGTCGCTGGTAACCAGGACTGCAACCTTAAATAAAATAAAAATCTTTTAATTTAGGAATTATCTTTTCAATAGGAAGCACATTTCGACCATATTTTCCCTTTACTATGTAATATGATGGATCAAAGAACACAAAATGAACCTATTGGAGGATTTATTTCCAGCCAAGCTTAGAACTGCTGTTAGTGTTGAAGGCAGAATGTTTGAGCTGCAGGCAGATAAGCCAACCTTTCTTGATGGGTGCATCCTGCACAGAGAGGGTGATGAGTTTCTGGTTGGCAGGCAGGATGGGCCGCTCGGCCTCGGCCTGCTTGCGCTTCATCTCGCGGTTGAACTGGCGCCGCTCCGCCCACGTCCGGAACTTCTTCACCGTCACCTGCTCGAAGTCAAATCGCTTCTCCAGGTAGCGCCTGAAATCCTCCAGATCTGAGGAACACAGCCAGGTTACTCTCTCCTCTTGAGCACTGAGCAAGCAGCAAGCTCTCTATTTCCACTGTTTAAACAGGCTGTAATTGCAGTCTTAGAGCAGCAGCCAAAGGTTAGGATGCTATTTTACACTAACAGAACTAATTACAAGTTTTCCTGTTACTGGGTCAAACGCAAAACATTTGTGCAAACTGGAAAACAAAACAAAAGACCATTTTATTCTGTCACTTGAAGATTCTAGGAAGCCCTATCTAGCACAATACCCAACCCAGTTTGTAACAAACGCTGGCAATTGTTCTGCTTCAACACCTGTTCACCTTCCTGTCCCTGAAGTGAGGCACACAGTGAGCACAGTTCTGCTTCCAGCCTCAGCTTCCTGAGCCCAGCTATCGCTGCCTATTTATTCAGCAGTGAACCATCAAGCTCTGCACAGTGATGCTGCATGACCTCCAGGAGTGTCTGCAGCCTCTAAGCACAATTTAACACATTCATTTCACACACAGAGCACTAAAAGACTCCCCCCTTGAAATACAGCTGCTTCTCCTTTCTAGGATACTTCTGCAGATATAATCAGCAAAAATAAAGAGTAGCATCCACAGATGTAAACAAACAAAAGCAAGCTGCTGGTATTGTTTCCTTCCACAAGGAACTCCACATGCAAGTCATGCTTATGCTTGATCACTCACAGATCCTATTTGAAGAAAGAGATACAGAGGTGAACTTCACGTACAAAAGTAAGTGCTCACTGGTTTTAGTTTTGCTGCTAAATACTGGTGATTTGGGTTTTTTAAAATCTTTTGGCGTGTTTTTCTGAGTGAATAGGACACATGTAATGTCAAGGGCAAGTTTTATGTTGGAATACTAAAGACAAGTGGCAGCCTATGATCCATATCAATATTCTGAGGAGCAATAATTTACATGGATGGGCCTCTCAGGTATGCAGATGTGGTAAGTGGCACATGAGCTTCCTCTCCAAGTTCCTCTAAGTCAGGCAGTGATTTTGGCATGACTTCTTCAGACAACTTTTTGTGCAAAGGCTATCAGACTTGTACAAATAAAATAATGAAGCATCACCCCCTTCATATGCATCCAATTATATTTGCATGACTTATTTTGATAGAGTTGTGCAAATAAGGAAATATAGTTTCTTAAAGAGTTGATACTGAAAATAGATACAATTCAGCCAACATAGAGGCTGCCTAGAAAAGCCTAGTTAAAGAAGTCACACTAACACACCTGACAACAGCAATTCAAATGTACACATTGACTTAACTGACTGTTAAACTGAGAGAAAGTCTACAGGACTAACTTCCAAAATGTTCACATTTTTTGTGTAAAACCTTTCCATGTGGACTCTCAAGGCTTCAGCAAAATTCTTCACTGTGTATTTCTTTTCTGTTAAAATCAAAATTGATTTCTAATACTGGATGTGTTTCTCCAGATCTCAGAGCGTGCAGCCTGATAACTGATCACCTGATCTCAGGCAAGATACCACTCAGCTGCCAAGTCTGGAATAAAGCCTCCCAAATGTCATTACCCCAACTCCAGGCAAGAAAAGACTCCACTTGCCATACATACCTACAGATTCATCTTTACATACTTCAACTTTGGCCTTAACTTGTCCCAAGGCTCCTTGTGCTGCATCTCCCCCAGAGGGGTCTTTGTCATCTAAAGGCCCAGAATCAGCAGCAGTGGAATCTGGTTCTTCCGTCTGGCAGTCCAGTTCTGAGGATTTCTCTAGATGCTTTACGGGTGATACCTCCCCGTTTGGGGTTATGTCATTGTTTTGTTCCCTTTCCTCATTTTCCTTCATTTTTTTGTAATGAAAGCAAGGAATGCTACTAAGGGGAGGATCATGTTTCTGCAAATATAAAATAATACAGAAGCTATCAGTATCTCAAGGTCACCAAAAGCAAGAGTCAAACCCAAGAGATGCAATTAAGATGGAAGTTACTTTTCCTCAGTGCAGGCTCTGGCTTCTCTTTGGTCAGGAATCTCATTCTACTCAAGAGCTGAATGGGGTCCCTCCTGTGGTACCCTGACACTGTGCACCCCTGACACAAACCTGCTGAGAGTGTTGGCTGCTTTAGTTCCAAACTACATTCTGGTCACTTGTATGCACACACTACATGCTTTCATAAAATCCACCCAGCTTTCTTGGGGCATGAGCCCATGGCATTAAATCCAGTTTCTGCAGATTCCTTGGGTTCATGACTGTCACATCTTTACTTCTAAAAATGTGACCATAAGCCACAGCTCAGACTAGTTTACAGCTACAAATAAGTGATCCATATATATTGCATGGTGGAATAAAACCAGAATTTTTCAGCCATATGCTAGAAAAACAAAGGCACCAAACAAGATCATCCCATTCTCTTTAACTGCCCAAACAGAAAACCCAAGTACCTAAGAAAAATCATATCAAATTTTCAGAAAGAGAAGAGTTTACTTTTCAAGGACCTTAGTTTTAACACTGGAAAAAAGCCCACTAAAGTAGAAAAATATTCAACTGCTTGCAGGAACACATCTGATGTTTAAATCTTAGTAAGTATGTAAGTAATTGACAGCTCTCACCCTTATGCTTCCTGTTCCCAAGAAATAAGGTCTAGACCAGGTAACAACTCTGGATTCTCTGTGCAGATATACAGGAATGCCCGAGTTATGGAATGTCATGATCCATCCATCTGGCAAAGGCTCTGTAGGAGGGCGGCCACGACCTTGAAAGCAAAGAATGGCTTTAAACTTGCACAGACTGCTAAAAAGAACAAGAACCCAGGTTTTTATTTATTGCCTTTTCTGTCTCAAAGAATAAAACTGCACTGCAACAAGATTAAAGATGTTTTGTAGAGAGAAGTTGTTTTAATAACAAGGTATATGCTTCTAACCCACACTAAATCCTGAAAAATTACAGATTCCATTATGTTCTCAATTGAAAGGTGAGAGAAGCACTAAGTTTTATACAGACTGCTTTGTTCTTCACTGGATTTTCTTATTAGTCTTTTTTATGTATTTAAACACCACTATACTTACTGGAAAAGTCACACTTGCTTTAGAAACAACTGAATTTTCCATTAAAAAATTTTTCACTTGACACCTGGGAATAAATTTGCATTGAGTCACCACCAGACCTACAGATCCAAACAGCCAGCAAGGAGTTCCTTTGTAAGCCAAGGTCTCGCTCCTCTGTACACCAGAAATCAGAGACCACTCAGCTTTGCTGGAAGCCTCCTGGCAATCCTGCATTAGTACAAAATTTGGAGGGGAAAACTGCTTGATTTCCTATTTCAAAACACACTGAAACTGTAAAGTATTTCTCTAGAGCGTGTTCAAATTTTAATGCTAATTCAGAATATTTTCAGGTAAATTCTTCTGGCTTGGTTCACATCCTCAGCTCTTCTTTATTAGTAGTTTCTAACATTTACACAATGAAATTAGATAAATGTAAGCCACTGACTTTTCTAGTCATTACTTGTAACCTAGTATTGCCTGCATAGACTTCACATGGAGCCATTTCAACAGCAGAGTTGTTGAAGTGGGAAGAAGTCCACAATGCCCACAAAGTCTTCAGCTGATTCATGGTACCAGAGACAAAAGCCCCAGATCATCCTTGTTCACCTCCCTGCCACTGAGGTAACATTCTTCATTCTTTTTCACAAATCCACACACTAAAATGCATTCTTATTACATAAAACAGATCAAAAGCAAAAACCAACTTCACTGTTTAGGAGCATGAAAAATCCCATAGTAAGCTGCCTCCAAACAATAAAATTCTCCAACATATTAACAATTCCATGAGAATTGCTATCCCACACTCTGCTTGCTGATATACTTTTGTTCTACAGACACAAGCCATACACAAGAACTACAGTTATTTAATGAACATGAACTTACTCTTCAGGACAGTTTTAATTTTGGTCATCATGGGCTGCACACTCGTTTCTCCATCAGACTGGTGATCGCTCTCACCACCATATTTCTCATTATCGAGTCTCCTTGTTTTGGGTGCTCGGAGACCCTCTTCCAGCAGAGCATCCACATCATTATCAAAGTCATCCTGAAAGAGACTTCATCAGACACTATCCTTCTGGGTCTACCAACCTCCCTTTTCCCTTGCAAAGAGAAAGTACACATTTTTGATATGCACTTCCACAGAGAAACTAGACAGTTCCAATGATTCCAGTAAAAAGACTGAAAAATAAGAAAATAAGTTTTTGTGAGAGCCGTATTTTTTATGATAAAATGAGTTGCAACTGTGTGAAAAGACTTTTAAATGTCATTTTTAAACAAACTACAGAAGCTGCCACACAACTCAGGAGTTTAACCAAAATAGTTTAAAGAAGTTTTCAGCCAAAGCTCTGACTCTGAAAATTCTGCATTTTTGACTCACATACTGCACGCTTCTAGAAGAGACTGTTTCTTTGTGTATTTTTTTCTAGCCACTTGGAAACCTCTTACCCACCAAAAACCTGTGGATTTGCTTACCTCATATGAGAAATTCAAAGTTTCTTCATCCACTTTATCTCTTTGAACGATTGCTTTAGATGTGAACCCTCCTCCTTCTTCATCTATTTCCATCAAATTGTCGGTAAAGTCTTCTAGCTCATCCAGAACTGCATATTCCACTCTCTTTTCCTGATCAATATCATTTTCATCATCCTTCTTGTCCTCACTGTCTCCCCCTATTCCTACAGCTTTACCATTACTACCACCGAAAGGACAAACATGCAAATCCCCATTGACATTATTAACACCAAACTCTGCGTCTGCCTTATAATCCTGCTCAACTCCAGTGTACAGAACTTTCCTGTCTTTGCTCTTGCAGCTCTCTGTAAAGCTAACACTAATCTTCACATCCTTCAGCAGCTTAAGATCTGGGGTGAACTTGCGGAGCGACGGGGCGTGCCGAGCGGTCCTGGGGCTTTGGTCGCCGCCGGCAGGGTCTACGATGAGGCGGCTCTTGTAGCAGGCAGATCCCTTGGTGAGCAGCTGAGTCCTGCCGAGCCCGGGCGTGTCCCCAGCAGGGCTATCTGACTGTCCATCACCACCAGAGCCAACGTCCATTACCTCTGCGTCACTGGACGTTTGCAGGGGAGGTGGTGGAGGCTGTTCGCTGGGCGGCAGAGGTGGGGGACAGCTCTGGTTCTCCACATTCATGTCTCTCGCGGGTTCTTTAGGGAGGGGTGGGACACCTTCATAGTTCTCCATTTTTAAAACTACTGTCTCTTAAAAAAACAAACCAACGCTTTAATAAATGTGTATATCTATACTCCTAACATGCACGAGTCCATCGGGATTGGTTTATCGTGTTCTATTCAATATGCAACACTGATGATTCAGTTAAGCTGACTACATTGTTCTTTTCATTAATGTAGACAGCTTTCAGAATCACTGTCTCAATTATTGGAAATCACAATGCATTCAGCTTAAATAGCTGAAGACTAAGACTGCATCTTCATTGGACAAGCAGGTCTCCTTTTCTTCTTTCAACCTACAAGAAGAAGAAAAAAAAAATTTTGTCACAGGAAAAAATGGAAATATGATCCCAGGCAGAAAGAAAACACGTAACTCCTGGCATAAATTTCAAGCAGAAGAGTGACATTTTTACAGTGAAAAATGCAGGGTACCCAGAGCCCATTTGGAATGAGGCTGGAATTCCATTGGTTTTACTGCTCGAGCTGTACACCAGCACAGGAATTTGCTAACACAGCTGCCCTGTGTTATGATTAGTTGACTGTCTCTGCTTGATTAGCAGGCAGGGCATTAAGCACGACAGACTAAAAACTGTGCATTTTGGGAAGGTTCTCCCATAATTTAAAACAACCTGGCACTCAAGCCATACTTACCCACACAGCAGAAAGGATAATTAGCTTACAGTTTAAGACAATCTGCAAAACCAAGAGGTTTTTAACAACTCTGGTCTGTAAGACACATGGCTTTTCAAAGTTTAAGTCATTAGGTATTTTTGAAAACTCACAGGATGTTTTAACAGAAAATTACTCTCTAGACAGTCAGATATTAGACATTTGATCTTGTATTTTGTACTACTAGGGACCTATTTATTTGTTATGTCCAAGGAATTCAGGTCCAGATACATATCACTGAAGCTCAAAATAATTTTGGAAGGTATTTAGAAGCCAATGTTTTAGGTAATTTAAATTGGAAAAAATTAAATTGCTCTAGGAAATTTTACAGGAGATGGAGAGTGTGTGTTTAGGGCTTGTTTATTTTTTACATTAAGTGGGTTCTTTCTACCATGTCTATGATGCCTTCTTCAACTATACTTTTGTCATCTGTGCAGGACCACAAGCACCTGGGAAAGGAAGCATAATTTCTTACCTGATTATTTTGGTTTCTCCAAGTCCCTCCATGCCAGCCCAAACTAGGCTTAAATCTTCCAACCAGTTAGAAAAGAAGCAGTGTCCCTCTGCCCAAGGCAGCTGGCTCAGCCTGCTCTGTTCAAAGCATCCCCAAGCAGCAGAGAAAGTCTACCCCAGTATTGTGGGAAGCAAGCTCCAGGTCCTTCGTGTTGCTGTGTAACACTGAAGGCAGCAGGGCAGAACGTCTGGGTTGTCAGGAGGGACTTATGGAGAAACCAAATAGAATTGCCTCATGTATCTCTAGGCCAGCCCAGGAGGAACAAACCAACAGCAATATCCAAACACCAACTGGGGCAAGGCAGGAAGCTGGGAATAAGAAGTTATAATGGGATCAATTAAAATTCAACAACATACACAAGCCACCTACCTGGAAACTGGAAGAAAGCATAATATCCAACAGAGTAAACTCATATTAGTGATTTGGCAATAAAACAAGTTCTGCTGGGGCAGCAGAGCAGTTCATATTTTGTGGTCATTTTTTAAACATACTCAAGGTTGTGACACATTCAACATGCTGAGCTTGACATGCATTGTAGAGTCACTAAGGAAAAAGGCTCCAATTTGATAAGAGCTCTAAAACAATCCCGCCTTCTCTGATACAAATGTGTTGCTTTTCAGATTGAAAAATGGCTCATTCACCAGTAAGACAAGCAGTTCTATACATTGATCCTACAGGATGAACACACAGTGACCCCAGCAGCAAACAATTCCTTCTTATTTCAGCAAGTTCTCAAACATCTACCATTATACAGAACACCTCTAGAAATATAATTCTCTAATAACCTTCCTCATCTTCAGATTAAAAAAGAAAAAAAGGGAATGACAAATGATTAAAGTTCTTCACAGTAAATCATTAGTGTCTTAATTGTTAATTCTGAACAAAAGAATCAAAAAAGTCACAGCATGAGTTCACTAACTCCTGGAAATTAAATACCTAAGTCATCTAATTTTTCCACCCTAAGAGTCTCCTAAAGACTCCTGAAAAGAACAAACAAGCAATTCACACAGAAATGCAGTACTGAAATCAGCATTCTAGAATTTGAAAGAGTAATACCTTCCCATGTGTTGCTAGCTGGTCCAAGCAGAAAGACTAATGTTGCCAAGGCACAAGCCATGCTGTGGATGCCCTTTGCACCCCGAGACATGTCCTGCTCCTGCACCAAAGGGTGTCTTACCACCCATGTCAGAACGGGAGAACTTCACCTGCCTAGATTTGGTAGTTCACTGACAGAACACCTCTGCTTTTTGCAGGAAAGATGTCTTGTTATTCTATTTCAAGTACTGTTAACAATTAAATTCCTGTTCTCTTCCCTTTCTTGTTGGCCTGGAAATGATGAATACCAAATCACTGCCAGGGATTGTTGACTACTTGGTACAGATACTGTGGTCAGGAAAAGTACTAAACCAAGGGGAGTTTAAAGGAGCTTTTCCACTTCTAGCCATAAACCTGCCACATCCCCAGGATAAGATAACAGCCTGGTAGCTCTACAGCTACAGTGGGCTACAATACCTTCCTATAAGCTATAAAAAGCCAGGGAGAAGCAGAGTAACACAGGTCCAAATCCCACTGACTTTCCTGCCAACTGGCACTACAATATGCCCTTTATATCAGGGGCTGGGAAAAAAGATCCCACAACAAAACCAGTAGGGATTTTCCCTGAGCTATCAGGTATTTCAAAGACAGACAGAAGGGATGAAACCTGAAAGGATGAGTTGGATAAGCTGGTAGGTTACAAACAGCCAAACAGACCTTAGATCAAAAGAACACAACTGGCACATACAAAACCTGGCTTAGTATACTGGGTTATGGTGTGACCTAAGTCAGTTTGCAGATTGCCATCCTTCCTTAGCTTGTCCTGAAATAACAGTTAATTCTCCAAGGCTCCCCCAAGTTCCATCAACAGTTTCCATAAGGACTCCTGCCAAAGATCTGGAACAGCACTGAGAGCTGCCCCAGGCAGTACAAAACACTGAGGGTACTCTGGATGATCTGTGGCAAACACACAGCTCACCATCTGCAGATCACCAATACACCCAAATCTCACACTTTTAACTGATATTAGCAGATCACTTAAAAAGTTTCATGTCACAAAGAAAATTCAGCGATACAGATAATGGGGACTCCTAAAAGTAACACAGTGAACTGCACAGGTCCCAGCAAATGCAAGTCTTGGCTTGGTCGTCTTACAGATGTCCTTTGAAGGCAGAAAAGAAAAACAACAAACTACTTCTTTGTTTAGTAAGTTCCACAACCAGACAGGAGAGGGATGGGAGAGAAGTACACAGAGAAAAGGGTCTCTTTTTTCAAGGCAGGAAAAACCCACAATCTTAGAATTTGTAACCAGCACCACCTAAACTCAAAGAACTCTGTTCCCTGGACAGCAGGTCAGCATCTAGAAGGGAGCTTCATAAAGAACATATTTTTCACAGATACTTGTAGCCACAATAAGGAAGAGCATACCACAGATTCTCTCCTCAAAAAGTCACTTTTAAAAAGAAACTGGATTCTGTGTCAGAAACTGCTTACTTCACACTCAGTCGACCCAAAAGGAGGACTGGCCCAGAGCAAACTCTCCTTATTTGCTAACCACAAACAAAGTCATCCTCCTCATCCTCTAGCCCCAAATGAAGCTGAATTTATAAGGCCCTGATCACACTTATTAACCTCTGTCAGAGTAATTTCTCACTCACAGTCATTCACCTTCTTTCATTATACCTATTGTATCTTTTTGACACATACAGTTCCAGAAGTAAGTTAATCCTATTTATTATCCCTGCAAAAAGACCCAAAACAAACCCCAAAGAGACTGAATTTACCTTCTTTAAATCAGAACAGGAAATGCCAAAAGAAAAAAGTATTCTGTATGTTAATTACTCCATACTTGTTCTCTTGTTTCTCTCCCCATTATCAGCTTTAGGGTAAAGAGATTCTGAAGGAAACAACCACTTTGCAAAAGTCAGTCATCAAGGAAGTTTAGGAAAATGCAGCCAGGGCCAACAACAGCATTATCAGTGGCAAATACATACAAGACTCAAGAACTTCTCAAGTTCCTAACACTTCATCCCATTTCAGAACAAACAGAACACATGATTTCGGAAAGGCATCCTCAGAAATGAGAAAACAACAGCTGCTTTTATAGCTTGACCAGTTTTCTGGCAAGGTTTAGATAGTTTTGTTAATTGTGTAAAACAGGAAACTAAATTTAAAAAAAGGCAAAAATCCGAGTCTAGGAAGGAGGAAAAATATTCTTCCTTTCACATCACACATAAGCTTCTTACTTGTAAAGAAAAACAACAGACACAAGGAACCAAATTCCTTTCTCTTCCTCTAAAAATGCAAAAAAAACCCTGATAACTGAAAGAACTAGCAACCCAACAGAATTAAAAATAGGAACCCTTAAGTTTAATTACCTAAATAGAAGAGACAACTTCTCGACTTGTAAAAGAAAAATTAAAGATGTAATTCCAAGATCTGTAACTCAGAGCCTACAGGAGACAAGAAACGGAATAGGTTCATTCAACCCCAGTTTATGAGGAAGCAACGCCTGGATGTTGGGTGGGCAAAGAAACTTTACAGATAAACCCGAAGCCTAGGGAAAAGAAGTACAAAAGAACGAACAGTTTCCTGCCCCCCCCCCCAAAAAAAAAAGGGAAAAAAAAAAAAAAAGAAGAAAATTGGGAGAATTAACCTTCCAGAGAGTGAACAAGATAATTTACTATTAATAGAAGGAACACTCCAATAGGGGTTTCTGAGAGTTACAGACACAGCACCTTATCTTCAACGCACCACAACTAAAAAAAAAACAAAAGGTGCCTTTTCTTCCTCCCTTCGGCCCGGAGGAGATACAGCTTCTGTCCCCTGCACAAAGGGTGTGTCCGGTGACATCGCCCCGTCTCTCCGGTCACCCCCGACACACGAGCGGGCCGGGGGACCAGGGGCAGGACCCGCCGGAGCCGCCGCTCCATCACCCGGCAGCCGCACTGACAAGTCGTTCCCTCCTCTCCACCATCCCAGCGCTACCCCCACGGCCGGGCAGCGGGACGTGCCGGGGCAACGGAAACAAACACACAAACAAACGAAACAATCCCCACTAAGACAAGCCCGACACAAACCACAACACAAC